AAAATTTACTCATGCCAAATAAAAATCTTCTTAAGCCGAGACCTGACACTTCTATCTAGTCTGATCAGCTTTATATTTTGTTAAAAAACCTGTTAGCACTGCGATGAGGGGGTAGAACTGCAAATTAGGAATATTAACCAAAGATCCCTTTTCCCCCTACCAAAACTCCCATCTCTTCCATCATTTTTGTACAGTAATTGAGCTTCCTGTGTCAGATGACTACTTCTGCAGTTGGCTTCAAGCAGAAATTTGCTTCCTTTGCTTCAGAGAAACCATCTTATTATTTTCATAGTAAATGTCTATATTTCTTTTTACTCATTACTAAATGTACTGGCATATGGCTTATTCTATAGGCACATAAATATGACCTCTTTTTTTAATAGAGAGTTATTCGGTTTGGTGATCATTACAGTCTGGATGAGCCTATGTCGTAGTTCAGCAAAGTGAGTCTTTTAACCTGCTTGTATCAGCATATTCTTTATAGTACATGGAAGCCATATGCTTATGTTTTGCAATGTACATTGCTGCCTTCTCCCTCAAAGTGACTTTAGTTTTTTAGTGCCCTGCCTCTTCCCAAAGTCTCTGGTCCTACCACTCCACTGAGCAAACTTTGGAGCCTTCCTCCAGTGTCAGTGGCTCTTCCTCTAATGGACGAGCTACTCAAGTTGGAAGGTTCCATAGGGTAGAGGAACTTCTTCCATCCTATAGTTGTTTACCTTGCCAAGGACTCAGAGCTGCTTTATTATGGGAAAGGCAAGTTGCATTTTTTGTTCCCTAATATGTGCAGGGGAGATGGGACACCAAAAACATTTGGCAAACACGTATCTTCCTTCTATATATAGTGCTTAAAACCAAAACTTAATATGAACAAACAAGCTCCAGCACAAACTCTTGGGATTCTGGAGTGTGAAATCCATTGCAGAAAATAGAGGATGAGTAAAAAAAGAGGAGGTTAACACAAGGGCTCAAGAAAACAGTACACAGAAAACCTATTTGCTATTTACTGCCTAGTAAAAATGGCAATATCTTTCAATCTGAAAATTAGCACAATTGTTTTTGAACAGAGGGAATTTTGTACTTAAGATTTGCAAATAACAGGGCAATTCATATACCCTGTGTTGATTGTAACCCCTATCACTAACATTTCTCTAAACTAGTAAGCCTAATGTACAATTATAATTCAGCAAGAAAAGCAATGAAGCAAAAAAACCACAAACAAATACTTTCTAGGAGTTCATGCTAAATCTTTCTGCATAAATATCAGTGAGTTTCTTGATTATGTGCAATTGATTATGTACATATTCATCCAATCCAACCAAGCTAACTAGAGGGATGTTTGGGAGATACTTAAGGCCTGCTTCTAAGCATAATTTCAAGATCAAAATGATAAGGTGATATTCTATATTCTAGTCGATCGGACAGTCATAAATCACTTCTGTAACAGTTTCATTTATTTCTATCCTCAGTTGTGCCCTCAAGTTATTTTATGCAAGTCAAATATTACTTTGCATTCCGTCCACCTCTTCGGGTTCCTATCAGTTGGATTTGATTTGCAGTTATTGAACTACTAATGCTGGATCTGCTTTTTCTTCTCTTCCAGAAAAACCCTTGGTGGAGTTCATCTAGCTGTTGTAGTTTTTCTCTCACTTTCCCCCTTTATAATGTGGCTATACATCTATGTAAATTCAGAGATGCGGGCATCCTGGCCATCTCACTGTAAAACTGTTATTTAAGGTGGAAATGAACCAATACAGAGTTCTGGTGCTCATGAATGATTAATCAGCAATACTAATCAACAGGAACTGCAGCAGTGACCAAAAGGCCAGGGTTATGTTAACTGCAGAGTCTTGGTAACTGTAATTGGACCAAATATGACAGAAAGGATACATCTGTGGAAGCTGATGGAGCCAAGAGGTGGTTTGAGCTTTCTGTTTAAGCCAGTGGAATTCAAGATGAACATTTCCTTGAAGGACAATGATGATTGTGTTTGTTAGTGCAGTAACAAGAACAAGAATGCCTCTGCAGAGTGTATAGACAGTGGTATGCATCCCCCTCCTAGTTTTACCTGTCTGCACAGCACATCCTAGTATTTAACTTGTAAGTATTAAGGATGTGTTGCTGGCGACCAAGATAATTCATACCATAGTATTTCCTGTTACTATGTATAAGGTGTAAAAGTTGGGACAATGAAGAAAGCTGACAGGAAGAAAGTTTATTCATTTGAAATGTGGTGTTGGAGAGTTTTCAGATACCATGGGCTGCCAAAAAGACAAATAGGTGGATTGTAGATGAAATCAAGCCTGAACTCTCCCTAGACCCTAAAATGATTAAACCGGAGACTCGCATACTTTGGTCGTATTATGAGAAAACAAGTCACTAGAAGAGACGAGGATGCTAGGAAAAGTTGAAGACAGCAGGAAAAGAGGAAGATGCAACACGAAATTCATTGACTCAATAAAGCATGTGATGGCCCTCACTTTGCAAGACCTGTGTGAGGCTGTTTGACAAGGTACCTCACCAAAGATGCCTGAGTAAACCTAGCAGTCATGGGATAAGAGGATGGGTTCTCTTATAGATTTAAAAACTGATTATATGACAGGAAGCAAAGAGTAGGAATAAATAGACAGTTCTCACAATGGAGGGAAGTAAACAGTGGGGTCCCACAAGGATTGGTATTGGGGCTGGTATGATTTAATTTATTCATCAGTGATTTGGAACTAGGGTTGAGTAATGGCCGAGTTTGCAGATGACACAAAATTATTCAGGATGGTGAAAACCAAGGCTGACTGTGAAGAGCTCCAAGAGGACCTCCACAAACTGGGTGAGTGGGCGACAGTGTGGCAAGTAAAGTTCAATGTTGGTAAACGTAAACTGATGCACATTGGGACAAAAAATCCCAACTTCAAGTATAGGCTAATGGGGCCTGAACTTGTTGAGACTTGAAAGGGGAAAAGATCTTGGTGTCGTAGTAGATAGCTCAATGAAAGTGTCAACCCAGTGTGCTGCAGTGGTGAAAAAGGCAAACTCTATGTTAGAGGTCCTTAGGAAAGGGATTGAGAATAAAACAGACGATATTGTAATGTCCCTGTATAGATCTATGGTGCGGCCTCATTTGGGATACTGTGTCCAGTTCTGGTCACCGTATCTCAAAAAGGACATTGCAGAGCTGGAAAAAGTACAGAGGGCAAGCAAGATGATTAGGGTTCCCTATGAGGAAAGGCTGGAGAGTCTGGTACTTTTCAGTTTAGAAAAGAGATTACTATGGTGGGACATGATAGAGGATTATAATAATATGCATGGGGTGGAGAGAACTGACAAAGAGAATTTTTTCTCCCTCTCCCAAAATACTAGAACTTGAGGGCATCCAAAGAAGTTGATGGGCAGTAGGTTCAGGACAGACAAAAGGAAATACTACTTCACACAGAGAGTGATTAAAATGTGGAATTCACTGCCAGAGGATATAGTGATGGCCACAGGAAGAAACCACTTTAAAAGGGCATTATATAGATTCATGGAGAATAAGTCTATCAATGGCTTCTAGTCATGGTGACTGAGGGGAACCTCCATATTCAGAGGCACTAAACCTCTGAATCCCAGAGCCAGGAGGCAAGATCAGGGGAAGACCTTGGCCTCTATGGCCTGTTGTTGGCCATCCAGAGGAACTGGTTGGCATTGTGAGGATGCTGGACTAGATGGACCTTTGGTCTGTTCCAACAGGGCTGTTCTTTGGAGGTCATTATTTCATAGGGTTGCCACAGGTCGGAAGCGACATGATGGCACTTAACACAGACACACACAACTCATAATTCCCAAGACTATGCTAGAATCTCACACTAGATCCAGCCTTTATTTACAAATCATAAAAAAATTGATTCACTGGACTGGAGTAATGGGGTAGGGTTGGATATGATGCTGGGCCAATCTTTCTTTTGTAGGTCATTGATTATAAAAAACTGATGTGACTTAGCTAATTGGCGAGTGAAAACTGCCTGTGAGCTAAGGAGATCTTGAAGTTCTCAGTGTGATGTGACCCATGTGAATACCAGTTGCTGCTTCAAAAAGTCCCCAGGAATCAGGATCAAAAGGAAATTTTAGAAGTGCTTTTATTAAATACAAACATTCAGTGATTAAAAACATTTCAACAAAATTATCAAGTATGAGATAAGCAAAACAATTACTCCTAAGTCTAAAAATGTAAAGAGGGAATTTGGGTTAGATATCTTGGAGGAGGGTTTCACCCAATTACCCTCCTTGCTGCAGCCCCTCATACTGTGGTGCATTGCGGATCCCCTGATCCTCAGAGATGATTTTCAGGAGAAACAGCAAACTGATGCGAAGCTGAAGCAAGGACTGATCATCTGCACTCCTTCCACAAGCTTTTCTACAGGATACAGCCCAATGTCTCTTTTCTCTGTCCAAAATATACATTGAAGTCATTGGTCTCCATTTCAAATTAGGGAGCCTAGCTTTAAAAAAACCCCACCCACATACTGTCTTCAAATGGTGGATGTCAGTCTACAAAATGAGACACGATAGCATCATGGCTACCAATTACTGCACTTGGTTCAGAGACTAACACCTATACTGTGCATAGAGAGAATTGGAGACCACCTGAGGTATTACACATTTTCTGCAAATGTTTAAATATCAACGAACTTAATTCCCATTTTCAGATAGTAACATTGTTTAAACTCTTGTTCTTCCCAGCTAGAGGTTACTTTGAACACTACAGTGTTTTTTCATTAAGAGTACACTAAAGGTTACCTGTTCTCAAAGGGCACTTGGGCAGATCTTTAGCAAAAACTGCCTCTGCCTACCTCAAAGATCCCTCTCCTAGTCCTTGAGAGGCTAGAACCATCAGTTGTGCTATATCGGTCAGGAGTTAAGAGATTTTAGGCCAATTATTCTTTGCTAGAAATTCTATAGTAAATTGTATTTTAATCCTTTATTTATTACATTTATATCTTGCTCCCTGTCCTCCAAAAGGGACTTGGGGTGGCTAACAGCATTTAAAATACACCAATAAAAATAATACAGAGGTACAATAAATAATCTTTAAAATATAAAACAGTTAAACATCTTTCCCCCTATTAAAATCTATCCACTATCAAGCAAGGTAGGAGGCGTGGATTCTGAATACACAGCTGAAGTATACCAGCTGCCTGGTGGATCACAATCACCCAAAGGTCACCTGAAAAAGAGCAGCCTTGCATGCCCTCTGGAACCTAGGGAGGTCCTGCAAGGCATGCACCTCTTCAGGCAGCTGGTTCCACAGGATGGAGACCACTACTGGTTGGTAGGTATCGTTTTATTGTATATGGCCTTCACAATATCAAAAACTTTGGAAAATATATACAGTAACACGGGTCGTTTCGTAGAAAAAGAGCTAGGGGAACTCATTAGCATAACTCATTAGCATATGCCACACCCCCTGACATCACCGGAAGTGTGTCATAAGGCCACACACCCCGCCCCCAACGGTCCCAGCCGACGACGCCGGCCTTGCAGCTCCACTGCCGAGCCCCACTGCAAGGCCGGCGGGAGTGCAAAGAAGCCCCGCGAAGGCCCCCCCTGGCCCCAGGCAGGCAGCGGTGGGGAGAGGCATGTTGGATGTGCGTAGGACCCTGGCATTTTACTTGTCTAGAACTCAGGACTTTAGAAAAACCAATAGGTTATTTGTTTTTATGCTAACCCCAACGTTTCTCTAAGTGGGTTTCATCAACGATTGTCTTATGTTATCAACTTGCAGACAAACCCCTACCATCCGCTCCTAAGGCTCACTCGGCTAGAGCTGTAGCTACCTCAGCTGCCTTCATGGCAGGAGTCTCGTTATAGGATATTTGCGCTGCAGCTACGTAGTCTTCTCCATCAACTTTTGCAGCACACTATGCCTTAGATGTAAGGGCAAGAAAGGATGCATGTTTTGGACAAGCAGTCCTTAAGTCAATTTTCCTCTAAATAGACTGATTAATAGAGGTAAAATAACATCTAAATCAACAGTGGGGTAGGGCAATCCAGTTAAGAATGCCTTTTTCTCTGTTATGCAACTAAGAAAGATGTGCAGGAGTATGGGTGTTTCACGTTGTCGTTTTGTTTAATGTTGTAAGGTTGTGCAATAAATTGCTGCAGAGTTATAATACAGCCTGTAGTCGTTTTCTATTATGATTGCAGACCAATGGGAGTAACACATGCCAGCACCCACTGTCCGGGGTACAGTTCAGCTTACGAGTCACCCAGTGTGTGGCCTGCACAGAGACCACAAAGAAGATAAACAGGTTGCTTACCTGTAACTGATGATCTTCGAGTGGTCATCTCTGCAGTCACACACACACACCCAGCCATCCCTACTGCTGACATTACCTATTATTTAATGCAGGGACATGTGGAGGTGTCGGCAGTGAGGGGAAGGAACTGAGGTGGGGGCAGAGTTTCACACAGTTCTGGACATGCTCAGTAGATACAGGCTCCTTGAGACTGTAACAGACTCCTAAATTTAAAGCTATTGTAGGCTTCCCGACGAAGGTTTGACGAGGACGTAAAACCCAGTCTGTGGCCTGCACAGATGACCACTTGAAGATAATCAATTACAGGTAAGCAACCTGTTTTTCCAGGCCAAACCGGTACTGTGTCAGATCTAAGGTTCAGGCGGGAAATCCCCAATTATAGACAGTTCAAACCAGGCCCCTCCTTTGGGTCCCATCCAATCATACCCCACAATCGTCCCACCTAGCTTTCACGCGCCCTACACCCCCACCTGATAATATACCGTTATTTTCTCTAAGACAGTGAATCAAGCACAGTCATCTCCAAGGTCATCCCTGCGCAGGGAGGTATCTTCAGAACAGTTACATCGCCACTACAACAGAGCAGTTCACATACCTGCACACTCACGCCCCTCCCTCAGGGATTTCCCTCCCTCTGCAAGTCCCAAGTCCCAGAGCATGGCAAACGAGAGCATAGAGAGAAACATTCAATTTGATATTAAAACCAAAACCAAAACAATAAAGTCTTCATATGGTGTCTAAAGAGATACAATGAGGGAGCCAACCAGACCTCCCAGGGCTATGTGCAGCAGTCAAGAAAGCTCCACCCATGTATCTTCCTTCATAATTCATTTCATGCTCTAACAGGAACCGTATCAGCCAGCCTTGGACTATTCAGTCTCCCTCAGCCTAAACTACTTTGCAGGATGTGGAGAGAGGCATGTATAGCGTCTAAATCTTAGATAAAA